GGATATTGAAATCAGGAAAATATTTTATTTCTTAGTATAAATCTTATGATGTGGTGGCAGAAGGAAATGATGATTCGCTTTATGATGGGGGATTAAATTTGTGTAAAATGCTTTTCAGACAGACATTTTATATTTTGAAATTTAAAAGTGATATTCTTTTTGCGTATGACAAATAATATGAAGATAAATAGATTAATTCAATGTTAATGCACCTGTGTGTAGAAAGTTTCCTAAATATATGAAGCTATTTAGGGAATGATCATTTGCCACTGTTAAAGTAGGGGGGAAAGAAGTCTTATGAAAGTTAAGCAAAGAATTTTTTTAAAGAATATTGTTAAATCATGTACTAGGACTAGTATGTAGCTGTAATGAGAATACTTAATAAATTATGCTTGGAGTTTTAAGACAGAAAAAATACTTGAGACCACTAGCAGGAAGAGTTTACTTAAGCTTTAGCCATCTTTTTTCAGTTCCTTCCCAAGCCAGCGCTACAGTTGCATGCTGACTTCTCTATGTTCTATTTCCATTTTTGCTTTGCATCTTCTGAACACCTCAGCTTCGTCCATCCCAAGGTTCACATAGTCTTTTCTTCTGATTAACTTCTGCTTACAGTCATCAAAGAAAAATCCTTGCCGAGGATCCATAGGCAAATCCTTGCCTTTTGCAGAAATTTTCTGCAAAAGGAATTTTGTCACATAGGAAGTGTTGAGATAATGCTCTTTTGTCCTCAATCTCTTCAAAAGTGAAAATACAGAACCTCCTTTGTTCTGATTGAAAATTGTTTCAAAAATACCTTTGTATACATTAGAATATTTTGCTTGAGTAACATTAATACTAAACTGTATGTTAACCAGGTATTTCTGATGACTGTCTCTTTTATCTCGTTCTCCTTTATAGCTCCTGCTTTCTTTTGCCCCAACAAAATGGGTAGGTTACACTGAACACATGCCAATTTTTCATTTCACCCTGATTTTTAATGGAAATATTCTGTAGAAAACCCCCTCCAGAAACCTCTTTCAAATAATGGGTTTGGATGAAACAGATTTTTCTTTGAGGGGGACATTCTATAAATGCAATGTAGCTAGAGTATATGGAAATTCCTGTGGAGATTAAAAAAGAAAATAGATTCTCAAGTCTGGTTATGGCCCTTTGGCTCCACTGAGACTCTGTAAATGACTTTATCCAACCATAAATAACCAGAGGAACATTTTCCTGCAGGCACATCTGTGCCACTGATGAGCCATTAGTTTTTCCCCTTCGGGTCCTGCGCTGGTAGGAGGCATGTTGAGAGAGATGTAGCTGACCTTCATCACTCCAGATGAATCCTATAGTGGGACTGGCTTCATTAAAGACCAGTGTCACTAGCATTACAGTGGCCATGGAGCAGATTGTCAGATGAAGAATATCTGCTCTCTAAAGACCATCACCATTTTTACTGAGTGAAAACTGTGTAGTTGAGTCGTAGCTTAATTCTGAATACTTCTATGTGCAAGAGTTTGTGGCTAGTCTGTAGCTTCAGTTAATTCCGTACTTACTTGCTCAGGTCATTCTCAGTAAGGAAATCTGCCACTTCAATATTACTCCATGAACGCTTGAACAATACGAGTTACATTTATCAGCAAAGACTGCTGCCTAATGGAGACAATCAGGTTTTTTTTTACGTAAGAAATCTTCAGATGAAAATGGAATTTATGCCTTTGGCTGCCTCATATGAGATTGATTCTGTCCACTTACTTTTCTAAGAGCTTTCTGTCCTTCCAAAACTGTGATGCAGAGCAGCATATGCTGAAACACTGTGCCAAGTGGCTCACAGCCGAATTTGCTGTTGTTCCTTTTTCCCCTGTCACAGTACTGAAACCGTCCTCTCCCAGACAAATGAAACCATCTATCAGCATGATTGATTGTGAAGTTCCCCAAAACATAATTCTTTTGAAATGTCTTTTTGCTAACCAAGGAACCCTCTTAATGGAGTGCTAGGTTAATCTGAAGGAGTCTGCTGATAGATTTTGCTTAGCTGTCTTCATTCTCCAGCCTTCCTGAACTTTGTCAGATGTGTATTTTGCAATGATATTTCAGAAGTTGGACATTTAAGCTATTTTCTCTCTGCTTAAAGGGAGTCTTTGGGGAAGAAAACAGCCAGTTAATAGTTTGATTTGAAATCTGTATTCCATAATACTGCCTGATGTTTTCGTCATCTGACCATTGACTATCAAAAGAGTGTTAACCTCTACACTGTCAAGACTTTCTCCAGTTACCTGAGTTTTTTCTCAACTAGGGTGTCCTTGAAGATACTTGGTGAATCAGGTTAGGTTAGAATATGTAGTAGCCCCTCAGAAATAGTGTAGCAATAAACCTTATTTTCACCAAAAGTTAAAAGAGCCTTCAAACTGTTGTCTCTGAAAGTAAATTACCTCAGAATCTGCAACTGTAGACATTTTGGCTGTATTCTTGGGGGAAAAGATTAATCAGCCTCATAGCACTGCAAATCCATTTTTGTTTGAAGAACAGAAAAATATAAAAGTCAGATGAGCTAAGAGAATCCCTGAAAAATAGTTTTGTACCAAGACAAAGAGTGTGTGTGAAAGAGCAAAATGGTGAAGGTTTCTTTTAGATCTTGGTAAGAAAGATCTGACAACAAATGGCTCAATAAAATAGCTGTTTTAATAAGATAGAGTAAAAAGAGGAATGCAGACAGCACGTAAATCTTGTATCCCCCAAGAGGCTGGGACTCCTGCTTTTATGCAGCATTGGATTGACCCCAAATATGTTTTTGCATTACATGCTGTGCAGATCTTATTTGTGGATGCAAATTCTCTTTTTGGTCATTCAAACAGTTATATAAATCACTATTTGACATACAATAGTTTTCCAGTCTGAATCACTAGAGAGATACTTTTTTAAGATCTAGTACTGTCAGGAACAAGCTAGAAGGAAGCTTGTAACTCAATATAAACTGGTAGAATTAGTTTTTTTGAAACACAGGTGTTCAAGTCAAAAAGCTACAGTATACAGGAAAATAGTGTTTTATATATTATTGAAGATTTTATGCATGAGGAGAAAAGCAGTTTTGAATTCCCTATGGTCTAACATTTGAGAGGTTGTGAAAGGAGGGTGTGATTTTACTTTTTTTAGAGACAATGACAACCACCCATGATTTATACGTGAAGTAAAATTTTTATAGAAAAGGCTGAAAAGCTTTCTAAAAACCTGTATTTATTGAACTTTAAGTCCAAATTTGATTCTTAAGCTAAAAAGCTTCTAGAATTTCTCAATAAAATCTGTTACAGAGTGATTCTTTGCTAATGCCTGCTCAATTAGCAAATATGCAAATATGTCCTAGAAAGCAGGTGGACATAATTTCATACTGCGTTGGTGGTTTTTAATATTTATTGTAAATTATACAGAAAATTATCGACCACTAGTTGGGAACAGCCTGTGTTCATAGCAGGTCATGAGGCTCCAGCTTTCACGACCACAGCATATGCTGCACACTGGGGAACTTGCCCAATGACCTTCCACTCCTTGGCATTGTAGTAATTGTGATTGCTGATCTAGACAGTATCCTACTTATCCTCTGGTTCATTTTAAGTGAAGATTGCTTTGAATGATGGCACTGAAAACACATAGGAGTCTTTTTAAAATATTTTCTTTCAGGATCGTTGTTTCGATGTGATACCATATTTCAATAAAAAATTGCAAAATACTCTAAAATCTTCATTTCTGAGCCAAAACCTTTTTTTCCCCTATAATTTATTAGCTCCCCATGATTGTATGCTTCTTTTTGGACCCACCACTTGTTCTGAGGACTTTGAAGAAACTCTTGTGAGAGCTGTGCTCCTTCTCAGTGTCACCATGAGTATATTGTCACTACAGGCTGTGCTTGCTTGTTGACTGATACTGTGAGTTCACTTTCATGATTTACATGTGGACTTATCTATGTTGTTTCCTTTCTATACATTCAGAGATACATCATCTCACATATCTCATCTCAGTTTGTCATCTGCACACAAGCCCCCCTGTGCTAAATGACATTATAAGGATGTGCCACCTACAGAGGAACGACAGGGTTTTTTCTGTGCTGTGCAGTATACTAAGCTGATTTTTTTGTGGGTGAAATGCATGACATCACATCTTCCCTTCACAGCCCTTAAAGCTGATATGATTTTGCCGTGTATATGAAATATATAATGTATACCTTATATACACAATCATCCTGAAAACCTGAAAACTAGTTTTTACTGATAGGTCATATATGTTAATTAGACCATGGAACCATTAGATAGGGACATTAATTAGAGAGTTAGAGAAGCTTTAGAGAACATTTTAGATCTTTCTACCCTAAGTGTGTTGAACTCTTAAGAAAAAATGCAGTATATTAATTAAAATTTGGTTTGACATAACACATGAGGCAGTTGTTACTTTTACCAGCTTGAACATCAGCTTCTGAAATTGCAAAACTATTATAAATTTGTGGGGTCTTTCAACCTTGCATATATGTAATGACTATTGGTTTTTACAGAATTTCTGAATGGGAAAACACACCATCATGAGGGGTCCTGAGATATTGCAGTTGCTCTGTGATTTATCCCATGTTTGTGCAGAAACAGTTCACTAATCATTATCTAAAAGCTCGTTCTCCTAAACGTTACACAACCTTTTTCATTTGGTCAGTGCTTGTGGTTCATATTTAGGCAGTTGTTACTAGCAAATTATGTTGGTATTCTAAAAAGAAAGTCACAGAATTCACAGAATGTAAGTCTGTAGGAGTGGTAATAAACACCAGAAAAAATTAATATATTCCAGTAAAAATTTCCCTATCATGCCACAGCTGTTAAAGGAACATCCACACGGAATTTTCTCTCTAGAAAAACAGGCAAAATTGTCAACCACAAAAGAAAATTTTCCTTCTGTTCTACAGAATTAAGTGCACCAGTTGAATAGATTGATGATCACAAGGGGAGTGCAAGACCTAAGAAGCAGATATTAATTTATCTACTTACCCATAACATAATGCTGACGACGACCACGATGGCCTTTAGTGGAATCTGGGTATGATGGTGCTTCCTTCACACCAGGATATCCATTCAGACTGGGGGTGTCTTCTATAAAAGAGTAGAAATTCTTCCAAGATAATTACCAGAATAAGAATCAGTGTTTGGGGAACCTAACTCTTGATGGGGAGATTCTTTGAGAGTTGGTACTCTGATTCAAAGAGTTAATTTTTCTTCACAGTAAAAATGCAAAAGTATGTAAAAGAACCTCATATGAATAGATCATCAGAAGACTGCCAGAGCTTCTTGTCTCTAGAATTAAGAATGTTGTCACATTGAATAGATGTGTCAGAGCTGTAATTCATAGTCAAATCATTTACAACAAAGAAAGAGGAAATGTTGTCTATGGATGCAACTGATTAGCAGAAGAGCAGTTTTAAGCAAATATATAAATTACATGCAAAGCTTTTAGAAAAAAAAGTTTTGAAAACACTTTGTGCTTCTGTGTCTAAACTTTTTCTTTGTCTGAACTGTTTAAATGTCTTCAAATGCTTGCGATTGTGAAGAACTTGAGGAAGGGAAAAAGCAATCTAGTTAATTGTTCTACAGCCTATGCTTTGAATAAAGCTTGCTATACATTGGATATTCATTGTGACTGTACTGAACACACTGGGTACTGGCCTGCTGCTCAAATAGTGGGATAAATTATTTTTTACCCATTCATATATTCTTGTTTCATTTTTTAAAAGGTTATCTGCTCAGCCCTGGGGCTCCTATAACCACTATTCAAGAGTGATTGCAATGGATTTGCATGTGATATCAACAGAAAATTCACCATATGTCAGTTGACCAAGAAAAATTCAATTTAATTTTCTGTCTTCCATATTTTTCATTGTTCTGCTAGACTGAGTAGAATAGATATATCAAAATTATAAACTAGTTCTGAATTTTTAAAGACTGACTGCAAAGCGATGGCTGTTTCCATCTGCAAATTCAGATAATTTAATAGGTAAATTCCATGCCAATATCAAATAACAAAATTATCTCTTTCAAGAAATTTAATCCTTTTTTCACCATCTGCTATCCGTAAGGGAAAATATTTCATATAGATTCTTGTGAGATAGTCAATAATTGCAACTAGATTGAATTTCTTTAAGTTTACTTCCAAGTTTCTGTGATTGTAGGTCCAATAGCCTGGGTCTCTCTCCCAAGCCCCTCCTCCGAAATGACACTGGCAGGTGCCATGGCTTATGGAAAGTGCCTCTTTTTTTGATGTATGATCTGGTCCAGCATTTCTGAGGAGGGTGATTGCCATATGAAAGTATAGAAATCAGTTTAATATTTTGCTTCATCTATTGCAATATAATGGAAACTCATATAAGTTAAATGTATCTATAGATCCCAATCTCTTTATTACTAGTTAAAGTGATACATTTAGAGTTTAGCTGAGAAGAGCTAAGAAAATCTCTTGCTTTTTTCATTTATGTTTCAGTTCAGGAAATACCATACTGACTTTTATAACCCACTTCATTCAATTTCTGTAGAAATTACAAAGCAATAAAAGAAGAAGTTGTGATATCCTTCTACTGTAGTATCTGTAGGCAGTTGCATGAAATAAATAATTATTCTATTTTACCTGTGGTTCCTGGGGCTTCCTTTTTTCATAAAGCAGCAACAGAAGAGGTCTTCATAGTTTCAGAAGAAAGGCAGAAAGCTTTTGTGAAAATGTGGTGGACTTTTTTCCTAAGACTCTGTCTGTTGAGTGAAACTCCTGGAATGCTAGCACATTATTAAAAGGCAGCAAGAGGAGCATACCAGCTAATTGTTGCAGTTGGACCTGTTGAAGTTCAAGAACACCAGGGAAAAAATGAATATTGTTTCTGCTGTGCTTGCTTGTAATTGTTCAGATTTACCAGCAATATACCAGTTCAACTAATCAAGTTAAAATATGTAAATCCAAGGGAGTAAAAAAACCACCAAAACTTTGAGCTCTATGTAAATGAGAGATAAAAATCAGATGTAGAAATGAATGATTATAGAAGATATATTATAGATCTGGTGGCAGAATATGCAAGATATTCACTGTTCTAAGACACAGGATACATAGCCTAAGATGAATAATACAACTTCAGTAACATAAAAAATCAAATAGCTGTATTTGTACTATGACAGAAGAGACGTATATTTCATTGTTATAAAAAAGGATTTGGTAGGTTATGTGGAAGATTGTAACTTCCTGCACTTGCCCATGGTAACAGCTTCATAACGTACAGTCATAGGTAGTCTTAAAAACTGGCTCCGCTGGCGCTAGTGTATGCAGTCAATGTCACCAAAACCTTGAGTGTCTGCAAAATCCAAACTATAAAAGCAAATTAGAAGAGGCTTTGTTTACAGTGATGTTGTCAACTGAGCATCTAGGTGTTTTAATCTTGCAAGACCACAAAAAACCAGAGATGATAGAAGCAAATCAGAGCTTGAAATCAACCTGGGCCTTTCAGGAGGCAGTCTCACTCTAAACTCTAAATGATTGAAAAAGAATGAGACTCTAAGATTGTAATTTGATACTGTTCAAATGGATTCAGAGGTGCTCCTGCTTATAGCAGATAACTAGGCTTGGGACTCACAGACCATAATATCAATTTAATAATGTGTTTTTGTGTAACCCACAGGAAAAAACAAAGCCACCCACAAAGTAGTACAGACATATTATAGGATAAAATGTAGCCTATTTTTACAGGTAAAAATAACCCCACCCATTGCTGTCACATATAGAAGTTACAAATCTGTTATAAGAAAATCTCTTTTCTTTGAAAAAGCACTGTTGAAGTCCCTTTAATTACAAATGGAGACTTAGGTGAGCAAACATTGCATATTGGTAGAAGACTGAGTTCTTTAAATGGAATGATATTTTAAATATGAAACTTTCACAAACATCAGACGAACCATACTGGTCTAGGAGTGCTAGCCAAGGTAAACAGGTCTCATTAATTAATCTTGTTATTTAATGAATAGCATAGAGAGTTCACCCTAAAAAAATCATAACATGGAAACAGTAAGTGAATGATGATCCTTCTATCCTACTCTCTTTCTTATCAGTATACTGCCTATGAAAGGCAAATATTATTTCAGTACAGAATTTATCAGTATTATTCAATACAGAATCACAAGAGTGTTGGGAGTATACATAAGACAGAAAAGAAAGATTTGAAGAGAACAGGGATTCTCCCCTAAATTCAAAGATATTTCTCGTGAGTACAGTCATCTGAATATGATATGACTTCTCAAAAAGAATTCTCTGCATATTGTTTTTATCTGTTCCATTTCCTGTATGGTGATATACAGTAGAAATATGGGAAAAGGTGGTGCTGGTTAACAAAATAAGTATTCTACTAGTATTTAAAATGTTACTAGGATTTCTCATAGTCAGTAAAAGTCAGTAAATAACTCATTTAGAGAGTAGAAAATAATGGCATGCCTCTAAGAAATGTTTTTATTAAAGAGACTGTAAAAGCCCTGGAAAATTTTTGCTGACATATGCTTTCAGGAATTAACTTTATTTTATTTAACAGCTATCTTGGCAGAAGGAAGAAAATTTTTAAGTCTGTCGAGCCAAATGACCTATGTGCCTACTTGATGCTCCTCTTACCAACCTTTCTGAAACTGTTCCACTTTTCTCTAAAAGCATACACTAATTATTATAAATTGTTCTATTAAGGTTGGAATTTATGGCCAACAGTATTGGAAGTTGAGCTGCAGCAGACAGATACACTATGTGGGCAGACAGGTTTTTCTGGGGCTCCTTGACAGGATGGTACCAGGGGTAAGGAGCAAGGGGTACCAGTCACACAGACAGAAAATATCCTGGGCAAATAATGGGGGCTCATTTTGCCTGGGGAAGGAGGAGGGGAGAACCACACCTTTACTACATGAGGTTGTGTGAAGCAGACATCTGCAGAAGCTCTCCTCATTTGTGAGTAGAGTAGCAGAGCTCACACAGACTTCAAGAGTTCAGTTGTTGGATTTGGATGGAATTCCCAAAGTCGGCCTTGTTACTTTACTTTCAGATCTTAAGGTGAATGATGCGGCACTTCAAATGTCATCAAGTTGACATTTCATCATCAAGAGAAAAAAGCCCCGCAAAATTAGAAGGAATGAAACAATTATCCTTTAGTTTCACAAGGAAAAGTAGTGGTGTTTAATTCAGCAGTCCAGTAGAAGAAATTACAATTGGCCTTTGTACTTCAACAGGCCTTTGTACTTCAGCATTCAATAATATGAAATAAATTAGAAGGGATTATGGGAAGGACTAATGAGTAAGTGACTGATTAGGTGGAATTTTCTGAATACTACAGGAAAAATAAAATATACTCTCTATACCTCTGGTGATTATAAGTCTGTTGCTTTTTCTTTGCTTTTTATCTTTTTTTTTTCTTTTCTTTTTTTTTTTTTTTTTTTTTATAAAAGTCCAGGAGGCAAGCATACACTGAAATGAGGAGATAATTTTCTGAAGTATCTGTAAGAATCAGAAAGGTCATGGTTTTCTTTATTTTTGCTCTGGCATTATTGAAAGGTCCACAGAAAATTGGGCATATTTTCAAGGGCTTTGTGACCTTTCTTGAAACAATGGCAAATGAGTAGTAATAAAATATTTCTGTAGAACTACCTCCCTTACTATTTTGAGATTCTATTTTTCTCCAAGTCCCTTTTTGTTGCCAATGGTGGTGCAGCAAGAGATCCATAGCATTAGAATGAATATTACATAAGATCCTTGCAAAACAGATGCCTCTAGAAATTCTTTTCCATCCTCTCATTATCATGGAAAGCAGTCTTTCAACCATCTTTGAAACGCCTCCCAAAAATGTGCTCTAAGCTCATCTACTCGTGTCTGTGAGCCACCTGCATGTACATCTGTACAGGAAATGCTGGTCATATTGGCCGTCATTACCAATTGTTCTTCTGTTTTCCATTTCCAAGGACTTAATATTGCACTATTTTCTTTTTCTGTTTACATTGCATGCAAATACTTGGCTTGGTAATACTAAAGTGAGCAGTGAAAACCATTCCATATGATTAGTGTTATTCCACATGGTAGCTGGAATCTATTCAATTTAATGACCTTAACTGGTTTTTCAAGTGGGATTTTTTTTTTCAGTCAGGCTGCCTAATTAGATTTCTGGATTAACATTAGAAATGCCCTTCAGGGTGATAGCTGAGGGATTTTTAGTACTGCATTTTGTCTCTGACCTTGG